ATCTTTCTCCCACGGAGCAACTGGTAGTTTCGAACTGCTGACCTTGCGGTTCGCAGCCCAATTCATAACCATTACGCTACCAGAGCTCCTTCTACATATATTAAAAGCCCAATAATACAGTATTGTAATCAATCATATATTTAAGAAATTAAAATATATATATATCATTTTTTTATATTTACCCAAATATTTATGATTTCTAGCACTCTTCATTTCTTTCTGTGGATTTGAGTTACTGTCTAGTATAATTTCCTATCTGCCAAAAAGACTTCCTTTAGCATTTTTACTAAGACAGATCTGCTAGCAACAAATTATTTGTTCGGTTTTTTTTATCTGGAAATGTCTTTGTTTTGCCATCATTTTTTGAAGGATAGTTGAATTCTTGGCTGACAGGTTTTCTTTCCCAGTATGTTGAATACGCTATTCCACTGTTTCCTGATGGTTTGTTTCTGATGAGAAGTCAGCCCCTAGTTGCGTTATTATTCTTTTATGCATAATGAAGGCTTTTTCTCTTGCTGCTTTCAAGATTTCTCTTTGTCCTGAAGCTTTCAGCACTTTGGCTGCTATATCGAGGTATTTATCTGACTTAGAGTTTTTTTTGAGTTTCTTAGATTAGTGCTCCTTTAATTAGTTGGACACAGCTTCCTTTAATTCTTTGAACATATTTATAAGAGTTGTTTTGAAGACTTTGCCTATTAAATCTCTCTGGTCCACTCAAAGTTTCTACTGATTACATTTTTTTTCTAAGTATGGATCATTTTGCTATTTCTTTGAATGTCCCGATTTTGTGTTGTAGTTGTTGAAAACTAGACATTTGAGATAATGTGTGTTAGCAACTCTGGATCCTGGTTTTATTTTTGTTTGTTTGTTTGTCCTGAGGGTTTTGCTTTGGTTTGTGTGTGTTTGTTTGCTTGTTTAGTAACTTGCCTGGACTTAATCTGCAAGATATGTCTCCTCAGCACTATGGAACTACTAATATGGTAATGGAGGTGGTAGTGTGCTATGGAGTCGGTTCCGACTCATATCCACCCTGTGAGGGTTTCCGAGGCTGTAAATCTTTATGGGAACAGCCAGTCCCATCTTTCTTCAGCAGAGTGTGTGGTAGATTTGAACCACTGACCTTGTGGTTAGCAGCTCAACATATTCACTAACAGGGCTTCTTCTATTAAACCCTATATAGGTCACTATGAGTAGGAAACAACTCAATGGCACTTAACAACAACAACAACAATAAATATATTTACTTGATGTCCTAGGCATGACGTCACCTCGAGTCAACATAGCTTCATGGTGAGCCAATGAAATGGGCAGAGGTTATGCTGAAACCCCTAAAGCCTATAAGACTTCCACTCTCTCTCTCTCTGTGGACTGAAACACACATTCGGAGTTCAAACAGTTCTCAAGTTGACCTCAGCTCTTACTTTCCACCATGCCCTCTTTTAACAACGACATCATTCTCTCATTTCCAAAATCTCCCGTTATTAAATTTTGGGTTGTTCGCCACTCGCTCCAACTGGGATCACAACTTCAGATTAGCAGAGCTGCAAATTTTCCCTGTTTGTTTTCCGTCTTTTCTTGAGTTTGCTTTTTACTGACAGTGCCCTGGGGTATGGAGTCCTGACTTCCACCCCAAATTAAGTCAGTCCTTTCTGGCAATGAAGTTGTTAGCTTTGTAATCACAGCCCTGTGCTGACCTAACTAGGGATGGGGGTGGTGGAAGCAATCTCAGACAAGGTCACAGACTCCTGTTGTTTGTAAACCCAAAATTTTCACAAATAAAAAATTCACGATTTGTTTTTTGCTTTGATCAATTTCCTCAGTGTTGAAAAGGTTGTTTTTGACAATTTGACCACCTTGATACTTATTTGGGGTCGGGGGGACAGGGATTGGATTCACCAAGTACTTCTCAGTGCCATAGCCAGAAGTCCCCTCACCAGATTTTCTTAGAAATATAGAGGTGTGGTGTTGTAAAATAAGCACTGGACTGCTTTTCTGCAGTTCAAATCCACTATGAGGAGGAAGCAACCCAACGGCACTCAACAAACAAACCAAATAGAGGTTTTGCCTTTGTCCAACCATGTATTGGGCTTTCCCTTGCCCTTCAGACCAGGTGTGCCCAGTTAGCCCTTTTGTGACTCCAGCTCTTTTAAGTCTTCTTCTCCCAGCCGTCCAAGGTCCCTAAGGCTGTTAACACAGAAAGACTGTGAACTGAGCTGGAAAGGGGGTCAATCTGTCATCAAGTCAGGATTTCCAAGAATTGTGAGCTCAGGCTTAGGAAGCAAGCCCCTTGATCTAGACTTAATGCCATGCTTGTCTATAAACCAATAACTTAAAATGTAGACACACACACATCGCTTCAGCCTACCTCACAGAGGGCCGCTAGAACAGCCAAACCATCGGGGGCATCTTTGGCTATATCATAGCTCTTGTATTTAGAGTTGTAGTGGACAACATGAATCTGCAGGGGAAAGAGAGGGTGTATCAGTAACGGTTAACAGAGACCTACCTTATGGAAGGAGGGAAAAAAAGAAAGGCACTTTTTCTAAAGCCTCATACTACCCCACAAAAACAACTTCTTACTTCCTTCTCCACCATCTGGGCTACAAACTCCATCTATCAAGACCATAAAATTCTCAAAGAATGGAAGGAGCATGTAGGGGATTCTGGGAAGATGGTAACTTGAGGGCATTTCCTTGCCTCCTAACTCCTTCTACAGCAGATGAACTGACAGGTCTAAAGGGACCATATAAAGCCACCAGATTCTTAGAGGCCTCTAGGGAGTGAGTAGGCATAAGCCTTTGTTCCTCTGGAGGCCTAGAAAGAGCTAGGGACCAGCAGCAGAAAATGAAGCTTAGCTTATCTAAGACTGCAGCTCTATGTAGAGATTCATGGGAATTCATGTTAGGGCACCTGTGCCTGTCTGCCTGCCTGGTGACAGTGTCCTGGGTGATATGGGGATCTACCCTATCCTTCAAACTATGAAGGCCCCAGAGGAAGACTGAGGATGGGTAGTCAGGACTCTGTAGCCCTGAGTCAGAAAACACAGCCACTGGCACCCAGGAAAATGGAAGCAGAGGGTGCTGGCTTCCAGTGTTCCTTCTCGTCCAAAGAGCAGAAATTACCAGGCTGTCCATGCTCCTGGAGGAGCCACCACTCCGTGGATTCTCACAGTCTGTCTCCCGGAGCCACGGGCAGGTGGAGAAAATCAACACAGTAGCCAGAGAGAGGCAGACAGATGCTGAGTAAGAAGATGGGAAATCCAGTGGAGAACAAATAGACAGGGAGGGCCCCCTCAGATTAGGGAGGTGTCAAGCTCTGAGAAAAGTCTATCAGGAGAGAACTTGACCATGAGTTCCTCACTCAACTCCAAGTTCTGTGAGGGCAAGGACCACATCTGTGACAGCCACCTCAGCCTGGTACAGAGCAACCTCTCTTAAACTAATACTAAATGACAACAGCCTCCATTTTATCCTGAAATCCTTGTCCCATAAGGGAAATCCCACTACGTGACAGACCCCTGCTCAGGAGGCCACTATAGACCTACGGTCATCCTAAAGAGACATTTAGGCAAGAAAAAGCAGATAGGAAATCCAGCTTAACGCATGGAAATCCAGCTGAACTCAGAGACTGCTCTTACCCTGAGGCTTTGAATTCCATGGGGATAGGGGCACTGCCTGTACTCCCCACACAGAGCATTTATCAATCAAGAGTTATTGAATAAATGAAAATTAAACATGATCTCAAGGTGACTTGACCATCATCACTACCAAGTTTTCTTGGCTGTTTTAATAAAGAAAGTGGCTACGGAATCTGAAGGAGAGACGACCCAGCCAGTCCTCACGATACCTCAATCATTGACCTGCTCCCGTCAATGGTGTGTTCGGAGCCGCTCATATCTGAGGACCCACCCCCCCAGTGGAAGTGCATCTGCTCAGCGATGTACACCTGGCCATCTCTGGTCGTCATGTGCATGGTGGGGGGCAGTTGGATCTGCACTGGAAAGAGGAGAAGGGGTGAGAATGATGACGAGTGAGACGCTGGGTCACCTCCCACCCACACATTCCTAGGACAAGCTGGTGCTGTAGACGGACTTAGAATGTCATGAGCAGGGCTACCTGTGGGGAGGAAGTGGCTAGCATCCAGGGCACAGGGTAAGGTCAGGGCAGGTGTTGGGTGATGATTAAGTTGGACTGGGATAGGCATGTCTACTGGGCACACACCTTCCTGCCCAATTCAGAAAGTCAATGGCAGGACCATGGATGGGCAGGTCCCAATCTGAAAAAATATGGACAATGGGTTTGCAAACTCAGAACCCCACTCTCCACCTCTGGCCAATTTTGGAATTTGTGTAAAGTGTAGGATATCAGAAACTGGGCCTCCTAGGGCTATTTTGATCAATTTTACTGCCCAGATCTACACTGTTGGTAAATCCACATTGAGGTAGCTGTCCTCTTCGTGATGTGGCTAAAATACTTATCCCATGTAGCCTTTCTAGAACTAGCCTAACTAATTGCCTCCACTTGGAGGCAATCTCTGCTGGGGTTCCAAAAGTTGATTTTATGGATAAGGAAGCAGACCCAGGGACAGAGATCAGTCAAGAATTGTGTATCTTGATGCCAACACAGGATTTTTTCCCCCACATCTCCATGACATGGCTCAGTTTGTTTTCCAAAGAAGATACCACACTCTGCAGCAAGTCAGGGAATACTCAGACTCTTGGGTTTGGATTTATCCACATTGACTGTGATTATCAATTGGTGCATTAAAATGCCACTCTTGCTGATAGGAAAAACGGATCATTCTCCCAGCTTCCCCCTGCCTCATTCCTTACAACCAGTCATACCAGGGAAGTTACTTTGAATAGACAACTATAGTTGCTGGTTTCATTGACTCAGATCTTAGGGAAATCTGTATCTTGGGGACTGAGCTAAGGAAAAGATTCTAGACTGACTAAGAAAAGTGTCCATAAGATGATGAAAAGGAATAGGCAGCTTCCGTCTTGCTAGCAAAGTCTTCCTACTGAGAATCATCAAAGATGGTTCATGTTAGAGATTGACTGTGTCCCCCAAAATGTGTGATGAAATACTAATCCCTGTGCCTGTAAAGAAGACTGTTTAGAAACTGAGGTTTTCTTCTGGTGTATTAATGTTGTCATACCAGTGCAGAGTGAATCATAAAACTAATCACTTTGGAATTATTAAAAAGAACAGAATAGACATAGGTGTTAAAGGAAGACAAATGAAGGAGACAGATGCATCCATAAACCAGAAACTCACTTCTAGACATTGAGGAGTCCTGGTGTGGCACTGTCAGATAAGCACCGAACTGCTGACCACAAGGTTGGCAGCTCAAACCCAACAGCCACTCCTTAGAAACCCTATGCAGAGTTGCTATGAATTGGAACCAACTTGAAGGTACTTAACAACAACAACAACAACTAGACATTGAAATAGTCAAGCTAGAATCTCACCCTAGAGTCACACCCTGAATTCGGACTTCCATCCTCCTGAACTATAAGAAAATAAATTTGGTTCTCTAATGCCACCCATTTGTGTGATTTCTGTTACAACAGCACTGAGAAACTAAGATGATTATAAACAAATACTATTTCTTAAAAAGTAAATATTATGTATTTGATACCTGCCAGAAACCCCTTTAACCTTCTGAGTTGTCTAAAGGTGTAGGGAGCATGATTAAATCCATAACACAATATATTATAACACAAGAATTCAGCCTCAAAGATTTCAACATGTCCTTTGGAGGGAAAGGTGTTTTGTAATTCATTCTTAAGATGTTGTGGTGGTGGTGGGGTGTCATTCCAGCTCATAGAATTGCCCCATAAGCTTTCTAGGCTACAGTCTTTATGGGAGCAGACTGACAGGTCCCTTCTCCCAGGGAGCCATTGGCAGGTCCTAACCACTGACCTTTCAGTTTACAGCAGCCGAGTGCTTAGCTAGTGTACCACCGGGCTTCTTAGACTATGATCAGCCTCAAAAATCAATGGTCACATGAAAAACATTGAAACATCTTTAAAAAGAGACAAAGACACACGTAGAATCAGTTGTACAGAAAGCTGATGGGGACTTAAAGAGCTAAAGATCCAGGTCAGGACATCCCCCATGAATACTTATCACCACATGAACTAGAATTGTTATTGTTGTTAAGTGTTGTCAAGTCGATTCTGACCCATAGCGACCCTGTACAGGGTTTCCGAGATTGTAAATCTTTACGAGAGCAGAAAGCCTCATCTTTCTCCCGTGGAACAGCTGGTAGTTTCGAACTGCTGTCCTTAAGGTTCACAGCCCGATTCGTAACCACTACGCTACCAGAGCTCCTTGTAGGATAATTGAGACTAATTATAAAGTAAGTGCCTTGAGCACTGTGCTGCTTAAAGAACTAGCTACAGGAGATGAAGCTGACAAGAGAAAAGGAGGGTGAGAACGGACACTTAACTTGGATGGAATCCATGTCACTGGATAGTACGGTAGCAGCTGTTGAATCAGCATATGTTTTGCTATCTATCTTTTCACCAACAACAACAAAAATAAAATTAGAATTTTAAAGAAAGTGCTTTTCTCACTGAATGCTAGAAGCTCAGTGCTTTGGGCCTTAAACTTTTTCTGGAGCCTATGGAAATCTATTCCTAGATATTAAACGAAAAAGAAACCATCATCCCACAGCTTCTTTCAGCCCTCCTATCTGAGGTCTTGAGCTCCAAGGCTTAGCTCTGCGTTTCTCTCTGTGCCTCTTCTTGCCAGCAAGAGACTGCCAAGGACTGGGAGCCTCTTGCCCACCTCTTACCTGTGTGGCCATTGTTGGTCATGGGGAACGTGCCCTTCTGGGCTTCGTAGCCTATCAGGTTCAGCCTCTTCAAGGTGGGGTTGTACCGCACCATCTTCCTCTGTATATTGATGGGCGACTGCCTCTGCCCACCGCAGGATGGATAGTGGTCCGGCCAGTGTTTCTGGTCCAACGCCCCTTCTGAAACAGAAGAAAGCCAACAGGGTGAAGGTGGAAGGGCTATCCAGGATGAGCCCTACCTGTGGGCAGGGTTGAACCCTCAGGGCACCTCCCACCACATGAGAACCCAAGAAGCTGCCTTCTAGAAAGCAGAGGGAGGGCCTCTGGAAGGAGGCTGGCCAAAAGCAAAAACCCTCTAACGTGGAGTCCATCCCTTCCGAGTATGTAAATTTTTCCCAAAGCTGACTGCCACATCTTTCCAGACCATTTGGTTAGTTGCCCAGTGCTTAACCCACTGTACCACCAGGAAGGAGGCTGAAGGAGCTTTTAAATGCACTTCAAGGATCCCAGATTTGGGGGGCTTTGGTTCTGATTTCTAAGTTTCATGTTACAACTATTAGCCCTGAGAACATGGCTTTGTGCTTTGAAAGCAATTGTTAAGTGCCATCAAGTCAGTTCCAACTCATAACGACCCTATATAGGGTTTCCAAGGAACAACTGACGGGTGTGAACCACTAACCTTGTGGTTGTTGTTGTTAAGTGCCATCGAGTCGGTTCCGACCCATAGGGACCCTGAGTAGGGTTTCTGAGGAGTGACTGGTAAGCTTGAACCGTCGACTTTGCAGTTCAAACACGGCTTTGCAGTCTGGCGCGTTAACTCACAGCGCCACACCAGGACTCCAACCTTGTGGTTAGCAGTCCAGTATTTACCCTACAGCTCCACACCAGGACTTGGACTTTCTGGAAGCAATGAAAGTCTTAATTTGTACCTTCTCTTCCCTCTTCCCCTTTAAATTCTCAGCTGAATACTGCCCTGGAGCAATCCTTGGGCATATTATTATCATATTGCTCTCATGGACTTTTCCTCCTTTGCTCTGAATGCCACTACTTTCCTTTCTAAGCCCCCAACCAACTCCACCCCAGGCCACTGTACCTTCCCACCTATTTTCTTGCTCCCAGCCCCTTTGACAAGTTCCCAGAATAGTAAAGACCACCTGGGTAACAGGTACACCTGTGGATTCAGGGCAGTTAAGTATTGGAATCCTGATGTGGCACTGTGAGTTAATGAGCTGGCACTCTAGCCTCCTAAATCTACCACTCATCTGTCAGTTTGTTGTACTGTGGTGGCTTGCATGTTGTTGTGATGCTAGAAGCTATTTTAAATATCAGCAGTGTCACCCATGGTGGACAGGTTTCAGCAGAACTTCCAAAATAAGACAGACTATCAAGGAGAGACAGACCACTACCAGGCAGACCACTTCTCAAGGGTTGTTGTTGTTAAGTGACCTTCTATGGGGTTTCCAATGAGTGGCTGGTAAGCTTGAACCGCTGACCTTGCAGTCCAGCGCATTAGCCCACAGTGCCACACCAGGACTATCACTGAAAACCTTATGAATAGAAGAGGAACGGTGTCAGAAGATGAGTCCTTCAGACTGGAAGACACTCAGTTCAACTGAGTAAGTTCTGCCTCCTAAAAGTAGATGTTGACCTTAATGACATGGATGGAGTTAAGCTTTACAGACCTTTATTTACTGATACAGTACAACACAAAATAAGAAGAAACAGCTGCAAGCATCCATTAAAAATCAGAGTGTGGAATATACACAGTATGAATCTAGGGAAACTGAAAAATGCAAAAATGAAATGAAATGCATAAAGATCAATATCCTAAGCATTGTTGTTGTTGTTGTTAAATGTCGTCGAGTCGGTACCGACCCATAGCAACCCTGCATAGGGTTTCCGAGGAGCGGCTGGTGAGCTTGAACCACCAACCTTGCAGTTCAAATGGCTTTACAGTATGGTGAATTAACCCACAGTGCCACTGAAATAGACTGGTACTGGCCATTTTGAATCTGACAATCACATGGTTTACTATGCTGGGAATGACAAACTGAAGAGAAATGGCATCACATTCATCATCAAAAAGAACATTTCAAGATCAATCTTGAAGTGCAATGCTGTCTGTGATAGGATAATATCCATATGCCTACAAGGAAGACCAGTTAATATCACTATTATTCAAATGTATGCATAAACTAAAGCCAATGATGATAAAATTGAAGAATTCGACCAACTTCTTCAATCTGAAATTGATCAAACATGCACTCAAGATGCATTGATAGCTACTGAAAACTGGAATGCAAAAGTTGGAAAAAGAGGAAGAATCAGTAGTTGGGAAATGTGGCCTTGATTAATAGGATGCTGGAGATCACATGATAGAATCAAAAAAGGTGTATGCCAAGATTGTATCCTTTCACCATATTTATTCAATCTGTATGCTAAGCACATAGTCTGAGAAACTGGATCATATGGAGAAGAACATGGCATCAGGATTATAGGAACACTCATTAACAACCTGCGATATGCAGATGATACAACCTTGTTTGCTGAAAGTAAACAGAACCAAAATATTTACTGATGAAGATCAAAGACCACAGCCTTCAGTATGAATTGCAAGTCAATGTAAAGAAAAGAAAACAAAAATCCTCACAACTGGGCCAATAAATAACATCATGATAAATGGAGAAAAGATTGAAGTTGTCAAAGACTTCGTTTTGCTTGAATCTATAATCACTATTCATGGAAGCAGTAGTCAAGAAATAAAACAACATATTGCATTAGGCAAATCTACTACACAAGGCCTCTTCAAAGTGTTGAAGAACAAAGATGTCAGTTTCAGGACTAAGGTACACCTGCCCCAAATCATGATATTTTCAATAACCTCATATGCATGTGAAAGTTGGACAATGAGTAAGGAAACTGTAGAAGAATCGATTATTTAAATTATGGTGTTAGTGCAAAATATTGACGGTACCATGGACTGCCAGAAGAACAAACAAATCCGTGTTGGAAGAAGTCTAGCCAGAATGCTCCTTAGAAGGGAGTATGGTGAGACTTTGTCTATCATACTTTGGAAGTATCGTCAGAAGGAACCAGTCCCTGGCTTGGCAAAGTAGAGGTTCAGAGAAAAAGAGGAAGACCCCCAACAAGATGGACTGACAAAGTGGCAGCATCAGTAGGCTCCAACATAACAATTGTTAGGATAGCGCAGGACCAGACAATGTTTGGGTCTGTTGTGTGTAGGGTTGCTATGAGTCAGAACCAACTCAATGGCACCTAACGACAGCAACAATCGCCTCCTAAACTGTGAGAGAGTACATTTCTGTTTGTTTAAAGCCTTCCACTTGTGGGATTTCTGTTGTAGTAACACTAGCTAACTAAGACAAAGGGTCTTCAAACAACTGTGGGTCCTGGTTTCACCAGCTTGCTTTTGGGGACCCACGCTCTCCTTTGCCACATGAAGGAGTATCTGCGTGGTAAGTGCACAGCTTGTTTTAAGAAAGGGGTTTGTAGTTGGGTCTCTTGTTGCATCTTGGGTTTGCAATCAAGAGAAAAGTTGATTCTTTCTGCTCTTCTCTTCCCTATTTAATTATAAAGGCAAATTCTGATTTATGCCAACCCCATGTGTGTCAGATGTCATGCTTTGGAGAAGGGTATCATGCTGGGTAGGGTGGAGGGTCAGAGAAAAAGAGGAAGACCCCCAACGAGATGGATCAGCCAGGTGGCATCATTAATGGACTCAAGTGTGGCAGCGGTAGTGAGGTTGGCCCAGGATTGGACATTGTTTCGTTCTGCTGTGCATGGGGTTGCTATGAGTCAGTTCTGACTCGATGGCACCTGACAACAACATGTGTGTCAGAGTAGAACTGTGCTCCATAAGGTTTTCAGTGGATAATAGTTCCCCATAAGGTTTTCAGTGGATGATAGAGGTGAACTTTCAACCTCTCTGTTACCAGCAAAGTGCATTAGCATTTGTATCACCCAGGGACTGCATTTTTATAATATAAACCAGTTTCAAAAGAATTTTTTACCAAGAGGCAAGATACCAGAGCCAAGGCAAGAGGTTCCAAGAGCTACTGCGTCAGACACACCATAGACTGGCTTTAACAAACAAGTCTATCTCCTCAGTTTAGGAAGCTACAGTTCTGAATGAATTCAGAGTGTTGGCTCTAGGAGAAGACATTATCAATTATGGAGGAAGGCCCTTCTTGTCTCTTCAGCTTCTGGCTGATTCCTGGTTCATTGGAGCTTTCCATGTACCTTGTCATCTGTCTTACTCTGTCTCTCCTTCTACCTTGCTTGCTTAATTTCTTTTAATTGACTCAAAATGCATAACAAAGACAACCCATTCCCAAACGGGATTATAACCACAGGATGTTGTTGTTGTTAAGTGCCTTCCAGTCACTTCAGGCTTATAGTGACCCTGTGTAGGGCTTCCGAGCAGCAGCTGGTGAGTTTGAACCGCAGACCTTGTGGTTCAAACTTTCCTTGCAGTCCAGTGCTTATCCTACATTGCCATACCAGGACTCCAAGCATAAAACAGAGGATAGAATTTACAACATATATTTTGAGGGGACACAATTCAATCTGTAACAATCGTAGTTGAAATGCCTTGGCCCATGCCCCTAGCAATATTGCGATGTATCTCAAGTAAATCCTAAAGGCACTTGAGGTCGTTTCTAGAAAGTTCTCTGGGGCCTCTAGAAGCTCCCCAGGAGGCACACAGCCTCGAAGATGAGACTGAGTCTGGAAAGGATAAGACTATCATTATTTTAATCCTCTCTCTTCCTTATCCTCTGAGCCATCTCCAATACAGCTGGGGCCAGGTGAGGCAGAAAGTCCCAGGGTCTTTGTGTAACAGGCAAGTATGTGGAATCCCTCTACTTGCAGTCCTGCCCTCTGGAGCTGTACTTTTTGACCCTCACACCATGTCCCTTGACTTAATAGGATATAGTGTTCACCTGCATTTATGCTTTGTCGGGTGCTTGAGTCAAGGGCAAATTGTACCAAAAGCAAGCTCAAGACCTGCATCTGCCTCTTGTCTCTTGCCTCTTCCAGTGGTCAAATTCTTCTCTCTCATTTCATGTATCTTCCCAATACAGAAAAGAGAGGGAGGCACTCTCTCAGGTGTCTCATGGAAGGGGTGTTTTGTGTCCACAGACACAGGCTTCTTACCTTTGGGTCACATGTGGTCCAGAACCCATGCTAAATGCCATCATTTTCAATTTCTCCTCTAAAACTAAGGTTTTGGATCATGCATAGGTTCAATTTTTTAGCAGGGGTGTGGCCACCAAGAGAGGAGAGCCTGGGTCAACCTCATCAAGTGGAGATGTTCTGGGTAGACACCATGTCATAGCATTTCCAAGAAAGAAGGCTCTCGCCAGCCTGCAGCCACCTCTGGTAAACTATGTTGTTGTTTTTAACTTCCGTTGATTCGGTTGCGACTCATACCGACCCAGTATAGGGTTTCCAAAGAGCGCCTGGTGAGTTTGAACCCCTGACCTTGTGGTTCAAACCAAGCTTGCAGTTCTGCACTTATCCTACAGTGCCAACCTTGCATTCCTGCACCTGTCCTACAGCGCCTTTCCACTTATGCATAACAAAAATGCAAGGGGTGTTGCAATCAGAAGCTGTGAGTGGGCTCCTGAATTAGTCAACCAGTGGGTAGAAATAGGCCTAGAGCAAAAAAATCTGCAAGTGAGAAAAGGGCTGGTGATGGGGGAGAATTATTTTCTCTTTTCCTTAATCACAACTTAAGTTGGTCTCCATGCTTTCGAAGACATTGAAAAAGTGTCTGAACCCAAAATGAGCACCAGAGGAACACAAAATCATGAACATGGGACATACCAGGCTGCCTTGTCTTTCCTCAAGTAGGGGAGTCTCCCCTTTTCTGTAGAGACAGGAGTGGGTGGCTTACCTGAATAGGTCCACTCGGACCCATGCTGGGCCAGGGCACCAAGGAACAGGGACAGCAGAATTGCTAGCGACCTCATGGCATCCAACTCAGGAATCAGGACTGACTTCTGGAAATCTCTTCTTTTAAATGCTCAGAAATTGTAAGTAACAATTTACCAAGTCCAGTTGGCTGATTCACTCTTTACTGCACCCACTAAAATAATAACATCCTCCCCACAAGGGCACTTCTGACTTGATCCCATTGGCCAGGTGTCCTACACACTCACCTGACCTCCTCTTGAGTCATTTTCATGGCCAATTAGTTTTGGTTTGGTTATTAAAGGTCTCCACTTATGAAAACTCACTTTCGAAGTCACACAGTGCAGCCTTTGTGGACCAGGTCCATGGGAGAGAGAAAATGCCCAAGGCAGAGAAGAGCAGGTGGCAAGGCCGTCCCCAACAATAGCACTTCCTGTCCCATCACCCCTGGCAAGCAGAGCACTGGGGGCTGGTGAGGGTATCGCCAATACCCTGGAAGCCCTAGCCAGATCCTGATTGGCTTGCAGTCTCTTGCAGACCACAGCCAGTTCCTGTCATTGTTAGCTGCGATCGAGTCACCTCCGACTCATGGCGACCATGTGTGTTCAGAATAGAGTTATGTACCATAGGGTTTTCAAGGTTGTGACCTTTAGGAAGCAGATCGCCATTCTTTTCCTCCAAGGAACTTCTAGGTGAGTTTGAAACGTCGATCTCTCAGCAAGTAGTGGAGTGGTTAACTGTTTGCAACACCCAGGGATTCATAGCCACAACCAGATGCCTGAGGAAGCAGCTGGAACTCCACATTTTGGCACCAAATGGAGAGTCTCATCAGAAAGCAGTTGTGTGTTTATCCTTAACCTGAGTTGGTGGTTGACCCCAGCCCTGGGAATACAGCTCATGAGCCACAACCCGGCACATGCCTTTGGGCCAGCCCAGCAAGTGTGGGTGTCCAGGTTTCTCCATGGGACATGTTCATTCTGACAGCTTGCATTGCCCTCAGTCACACCCAAACCAATCAAACACGTCTGATCAATGGGTTACCTAATCCTCCTGCATCCACTTAGGTAAACAGTCCTTGACATTAACTGAGGGGAAATTTTTGGAGCTTATGCCTGCTGACAGGCCAGCATTTCCTATGACCTTCAGAGAGGGCAGAAAAGGCAAAGGACAGGGAAAGCTTCTGCCGGGCATCTGCCACCCGGGCCAGATACAAAGGTGTGTCTTGTTCTTGCCAACAGAGCGAATCCTCAACCTTACCTCATGAGGCTCATGAACGGTGGAATGGCAAGAGGACACTGATGACAGAAGTTCCAACAATGACATTTAAGGTTAACTATGGGAGCTCCTGGATAGTTCTAAAGGGCTCCCTGTAGTCATTTAAATAAGAAGCATCAGTTGCTGCAAAGATCACACTGAAAACAAAGCACCACAGTGCACAGTAGCTGTAAGAATCTCAAAGGAAGCAAAGCATGGTTTTGAGCAAGTGTTCTGAAGCCAGACTGGCCCAGCTCTACCACTTGCCAGATGTGTGACCTTGGGCAAGTTACTCAACCTTTCTAGGCTGTGGTTTCCCCATCTTTCAGAGGAGTTAATGATAGTACCTCCCTCTTGGGTTTCAACAGTAAATCTATGTGGAGTACTAGGAGCAGAAGCTACCATTGGCATCCATAAATTTAGTGAAACATGAGATAGAAACCAAAGAATCTTGCGGGAGCCTCGGACTGAGTCCAAAGTTCTATCACCATGTCCTTGCTTGTCAACCGCCACCACCCCGGTGTGGTCACGCTGAGATTTATATTTTCAAAATCTCTGAATGGAAACAGGAAAAATCAGCAGGAGTTCCTTCTTCTGAGCATTCTATGTCAACTGGAGAAGCAACTAATAACGAAGAAGGAAATGGAAGACAAATGGCCATGCAGGCGTGTTGGTCTCAGGAATTCATCAAATATTTTGGAAATGTTTTTGAAACATTGCAGCAAGCTCTTTAATAGCCAAAGCAATAAAAAGGAGGAAACTAACCTTCCTCTTCTCCATTGTTCCACTAGGCTTTATCCTCAACTACCAGCATGCCTGGAATCCTGGTGCGGTGCGGTAGGATAAACACTGGCCTACTAACCACAAGGTCAGCTGTTCAATCCCACCAGCACCTCCTCGGAAACCCTATATAAGGTCAACTATGAGGTGGAACCAACTTGACAGCACTTAATTACAGCAACCAGCATGACTTGGGCTATGGAGCCATTCTACAAAGAAGGAAGGATGAAGCAGAGACCATGCTGGCAACAGAAAAGCATCGATTTCAGCTACCAAGAGTGATGGACACTTCTGAAAGATGTGAAAAATCCAGAAGGGAACAGAGGAAATTCTTTTTTTATTTTATTTTCATGTTTATCTACTAAATTGCAAAGCACAAAACTGTTGGTATGAATCATGGTTTCCCACAACTTTGTAAATGCCTGAGATTTTGGTAAATAACGGATTTTTTGGTAGGATGTTAAGATGCAGGATGAGTTTTGTTAAACTATTATAAAACAAAATTACTAACATTTAGCTTAAAATCATGGAAGTACTCTAAATAGCTTTCAGATTTCCTATATGTGTGTTTGTGTTGCAAATTTCTAAGTGCAAAGTTTATAAATTATATTGTTTTGAGTTCCTGGGGGAAAACAATGGAAAAAAGCTTAGTCTGATTCATGGAACTCTTTTTGTTCATTTTTGTTTTTCCTTTTTTGGTAATTGTCTAAATATCTTTGAAACTTTAAATATTTTAATGCAATTTTAAACTACCAGAAACTTTCCAATTATAATACAAAGCATTCCTATTAATCCCTTTACCTAGAATCTCTAATTGTTAACATTTTGTCATATTTACTGTATCTCATTCTGTACATGTATAGACTTTTAAAAGAATGTATTTTATCTTTTGTTGTTGAAAACATATACAGCAAAACATACAACAATTAAAAATTAGATATGCACAATTCTGTAACTTGATTATATTCTTTAAGTTGTGCAACCCTTTCATTCTTCTTTTCCAAATCATTTCTCCCCCATTAACATAAACTCACGGCCCCCTAAGCTTCCTAGCTAACGTTTTAAATTACTGTTGTCAAGTTGATCCCATATATACAGAAAGTTCTTTAGAAGAATACAATGTTCAAGGCAGACAGTCCTTACTAATTAAGCTCAGGGTGTCCTGGTGGTGCTGTGGGCTAATGCGCTGGACTACAAAGTCGATTTGAACCACAAGGTCTCCAGTTCAAGCTCACCAGCTGCTCCTTGGAAACCCTATACAGGGTCGCTATGGGTCGGATCCAACTCAACAGCACTTCACAACAACAGAAACATTGTTTGGTTGGATTCCTGGTGTGGTGCTGTAGAATCAGTACTGGACTGTGAACCACAAGGTCGGCAGTTCAAATCTACCAGGTGCTCCTTGGAAATCCTATACAGGATCACTGTGAGTTAGAATCGACTCAACAGCACTTAACAACAATTATTTGGTTGGAGTCCTAGTGTTGTACTATAGGATAAGCACTAGACTGCAAAGTTGGTTTGAACCACAAGGTTGGCAATTCAAACTCACCAACCACTTCTCAGAAACCCTATCCAGGGTCGCTATGGGTCGGAACTGACTTGACAGCACTTAACAACAACAACAATTATTTGGTTTGGATTTTTGGTATGGCACTGTAGGATAAGCACTGGTCTGCAAGGTCACTTTGAACTGAAAGGTCAGCGGTTCATACTCACCAGCTGCTCCCCAGAAACCCTATACAGGGTAGCTATGAGTCGGAACTGACTCGATGGCACTTAGCAATAATATTTGCATTGAGTTCTGGTGTGGCACTATAGGATAAGCTGTGGACTGCTAACTTCCACTTCAGCAGTTCAAACCCACCAACCACTCCTCAGAAGCCCTATACAGGATTGCTATAAGTCAGAACCAACTTGACAACAACAACAACATTATTAGGTTTAAGGAGCCCTGGAGGTACAGTCATTAAGTTCTCAGCTTAATCACGGAAATGTCAGTGGCTCAAATCCACCAACTGCTCTGCAGAAGAAAGATGTAGCAAGATTGCAGCCCTGGAAACTCTATGGTTCTATTCTGTCCTCTCAGGTTGCTATGAGTCAGAATCAACTCTGTGTTAATATGTTATTATTTGGTTAAAGAAGACTTCAGGGAATCATTTTAGTTTATGGTTTAAAGATGATCTCAGGGCAGTAGTTTTGGGAGTTCATCCAGCCTCAATGACTCCAGAAAGTCTGAGTTCTACAAGAAACTGAAATTCTGTATGGATCTCTTTTCCATATTTTCAGTATCCTACGTGTAGTTGTGCCTGCCTGTCCCCATGGCCCTGTGGGAAGGGATATCTTGTAGATCACATGATACATACACCCCCTCCCCCCACAGCTACAAAAAGCAAGGATGGGTATTGCCCTTAAACCTGCTGGGGAGCTCTGAAATCAGTCTGGCAAGAAATCATGAGCTGAGCTAGCTGAACTGCTTTCTTGGAAATCTGAATTGGGAAATACAGAATTAGGCAGCTACAGTGGACAGAAGTCCACCCCAACCCCCTTACCTTGGCAGTAAGTTCACGGTTATTGTGGTGAGTCTAACCGTTCAGTGACTGAAGTGAGTAAAAGCCCAAAACATCAGTTTGTGTAGAGTCAGCCCCATACATGTCCAAGTAGAACTGTCCTCCATAGGGTTTTCAAGGACTGATTGTTTTGGATGTAGATTGCCAGGTCTTTCTTCTGAGGCACCTCTGGGTGGGCTGAGCCTCCAACCTTTTGGTTAGCAGCTGAATGCTTAACATGTGTACCACTCAGTGACACCAAAATAAGTAAATCAGTCAAAAGATGGGTCAGATAAGATACGCTCTCTTTGAGTGGTAGGGTCATCTGATAATGGAGACATGATATTAGAGAGACAGGCCTCCTCTCTGCTTCTATGTGGCATACTCCCAATGACATAATCAACACATAATCAGCCAAATAACCCGGTCACTTTTGTTGCCTAACTTCTAACTCAACTATCTTCTCTGACCCTAAA